AAAAAAAATCATTTAACCTCAAAACGAGATCACATCATGAAGGGTCAAAAATAAATGCATAATAAAGCATCACAAAAATTGTTAAATTTGCAGTCTATCAACATACAAGTAATGACTGAAGATATAACACATTCGCTGGACACAGACCTGATTCAATGTAAAAGATCAAAGCGCACTTATAAGCGCCAATAGCAAAATAAAATAATAGTGAGCTAACAAAGATTGTTAATGGGGGATATTAGTCATCATTAGTATATATAACAAACAATCTGTGACATTAGAAGTCAATATGATATTTATATACAAGCCTCAAAGGTTCATCTTTTAGTTTATTTCGACATCGAGTTAGATGTATAAATCGCATTGAAAAATCTCGTCCCATTAGTTCATCATTGCAGAATAGATCCAATTCGCTATACCGCGACATATTCGACCACATGCTTTGAGCTAAGTATCTGAAATCAACAAAATAGTTCCCTGCTCGAGTAAATAAGGTGACAGACATTTTATCCCAGATTGTCATTATCGCCATACCACCATCATGACAATGGGATCAGAGTCTTATCTGCGTTAGTTCTAGATTTTTGCGCAATTTCAAGCAACCCTTTCTTTTAGAATCACCAAAAAAAGTCTTGTCCCACAGCAGAATACGGTAAAAATATATGAAACATAGCGTATGCACGATTTAGTGATGCTTGCATTCAACTCACTATACGCAGTTAGCTATATAAAGTACACAACAACTAAGGCTGCAGAAACGCAGAATCAGAACCAAAACATACCTTTTCAATGTGTTCACAGTGGCCATCCCGCTCAGTCGCACTATTGATCGAACAGGAGTTGGAAGCTCAGGAGCTCCTGGTATCAACGAAACGAGCACCTAAGCAGATGAAGAGCTTCATTGACAAATTTCAACTTTCAAAATCTTTCATTTTAACAGCATTCAATCCTATAGATAGCAGAGGATATAAAAAAGGTTGGTCCAGATTTGGATATTCTACTAAGCGAAGGTAGTGAGGGTAGAATACTTCTTATTATCTAATATATAAAGAATCACAAGCGCAGTTCAAAAAT